AGCGCCCGGCCAGGTCGCTGCGCCCCTCTGCTTCGGCCAGGTCGTTGCGCCCCTCTGCTTCGCCCTGGCCGCATCACGGCCCCGGGTGGTCGAAGCGGGGGCTAATTGCTTTTTCATTTTTGATTTAGGGGCATCTATGTAAAATTCTAGGGTCTAGTTTGTAATTTTAGATTAAAATCTACCTGGCACAAAAAGTCATGCCACATAGGCAAAAAACGGCCACACCTATCATAAACTCACTTAACTGAGCCCGATCCGCCGATTAGTGTCTTTTGCAAAAAGATTACCGAAGACATGATGTTTTCTGCAAAAAAATGTATTGTAATGGTTTTCGCAAATCTTGCCTTCAAAGTGGTGGTTTTATGCAATTTACTCCGCCCCAGTCCGCCATTGCACCACCACAAAACGGGCTTTGGCGTTGAAAATTCTTAACGCGCGTGATTTCTTTACTTTGGCGCCTCAAATGAAGCTTCCTCGCGACAAGATTGAAAAGAATCGCGCAAACTTATGTTTACCTATGTGGTATGGGCGTACAGGAAAAAAAATGCCCAGCGATAAACAGAAGCCCCTAGAACAATTCCCCACTGCCTTCTCTCTCCATCTCGTTCGCTCCATGACCGCCTCCCTCCTCCAATTTCCTCACGCAGCCGCTGGCCGCCCTACTCCACCATCGCCGCTCGCCTTCCACTCCTTTGACCTGACCTCCACTGCTGCTCGTCTCTCACCTCCTCCACCGCGCCCAGGGACAATCTACGATAGCCAGCGCCACCCGTCTTCTATCCCTGCCACCACCAGCCGTCGTTCTGCCCCCACCTCCGTTCGCCGTCGCGTCCCACCTCCCCCGGCTCACCGCCTACCACCCGACCCCAACATGACCGCCATGTATGCATGGCTTGCACCCCGTGCTCCCTGCTCCAGATCCGGGTTAGTCCCCGTTGCACATCGAGCAAGCCACATCCTCAACCCCTAACATGGCAACAATCCACTCCTCCTCTGGCGGCACGGGGGGAACCCTAGCCGCCGTAGCAAGCGGCCACCTCCGACGCCCACCCCCGCATCGCTGCCACCGGAGGGACGACCGGCGAAGCCGTGCCGGGCCCCAGGAAGGTGGCGGCAGGGCGGATCTGACCTCTCGTGCTCCCCACCCCAATCCCCGCTCTGCATCGCGTCTCCATCGCCCCCTCCCCGGCGGCTCCCCCTTATCGGTCCGGCGAGGCTGCAGTGCGCCCAGGCCGTGCGCCGTGTCTCCCCCGACCCCGAGCTTCCCTAGCCGTCGAGGGCGCCTCCACCCCCTCCCCACCCCGCGCATGACCCCGGGTCTCTTCCCCGCCGCTCGGCGCTTCGCCGGCGTCTTCCCTAGCTGCTGCCTACGCTTGCCGGTCTCTCCGGCGGCACATCCTCCCCCCTGAGCTTCAGTGACAGCTCCTGGATGGAGGCGACGAGGCTTTTAGGGATGTGGCAGACACGCGGCACCTCTCGGCGGGTCCTTCTGGGTGTTGTTCCTGCCCCGGCGGTCTTCGGCCTGCGTCTCTCCAGTGTCCCCCACCGTCGTCGCCCTCTGCCGGGCAGCTCCAGCCTTGGTGACCGGGTGGCTGCGTCCCTTCCGACTCACCTGGTTCGCCCACGTCCCGACGGCTAGGCCATGATAGTTTGGATCTGCGTCCCTCCAGTCCCTCTTGACGGTGTTGCAGACGTCGTCGCCCAGACCCGCGCATGGATTGCTTTGTCGCCCGCCCTTCCCTACACACTTCAAAGCCTCCTCCTTTTGCCAGATCCAATGCTCTTAGTTACGGAGGCGGTACCACCCTCCGACGGCAGGTGCAACCCCGTCAATCCGCTTCCGACATGGTGGTTCCGACCAACATTGACTTCCCCATCATCAATTCCCAATTCGGCGCCTATGGGATTGCTTAGCTTCAGGCCAGGGAGAAATCCCTGCTCGGCTTGCCAGGGCTGGCAACGGCGGCACCTGCAGATGTCGTTTCCTTCTTGGAGGTGTTGCCAAGGCCTTCAGCTGCGCCCCTCTTAGAGCTTAGGTGAAACTCAATGTCTGGTTTCGTCGGACCAGATGGCGACGGCGTCTCGGCGTCGTTTTCCTGGCTCGGGTGATGTTGATGTTTTGGCTGGTTCGGCTTGGCCACTCTTCATTTTGGGTGGGTTTGGTAGGCTTAGGTATGTTGTATCCTCTTTTCGGGCCGAGCATCCCTTCTCTCTGTTTCGTGCATCATGTTCATGCCTGCCTGCGTTTGTGTCATGTGTTGTATCTCTCGATGTATTCATTTCACTCCTTCTATCAATGAATGATATGCAAGCTTTGCATATTCGCGAAAAAAAACAGTCCAGTCCTCCTGTCCTTGTGCAAGCAAAATCATACATGGTCAAGGGTAAATCTCCGGGTGCTCCATTCTTCTATGGTAAGTCTCAACCATGGTCAAGCAAAAAAGAAGTCAGGATCTCTAGTTTTTCAGACAATTTATTATGCAGAATGTAGATCTCGTGACCGCATGATCTTGGTGAATTATTTAGTCTGTTATCATTTTGCACCAAAGTTCCTCCGCAAATTTCCTCCTCCCCTTCCTCCGCCGCCGCCGGAAGACGCCGCCGGGCTAAGCCCAGGGGCCGACGACGGTGGTGGGGGATCTCCTCTCTCGCGCGTCTCCGGGGTGGGGAGGACCCCAAGGCGTGTGGTGGCGCGACCGATCTGAGATCTGCAGCGCGGCGGATGGCGGCAGGCGGCGGGAGGCCGGCCCGTCCTCGGACGGCGACAGCTTGGCGCGGCGGAGGCCAGGGCCGCGGGCGCTGCGGATGGCCCTTCGGGCGGCGGCAGCGGCTGCGTCAACGGCGGCCGGCTTGGCTGCGCGGCGTGCATGCTGCCTTCAGATCGGGCGACGGCGGCGTGGAGGGCCTGTTGGTCTCGTCGGCGGCACCTCCGATCAGATCTGTTCTGACCAGTGCAGCCTGCGGTGGTGGTCATCTCTTCCGTCAGAGGTGGTCGGCCTGAGGCTGGGTGTTCGGATCTCGGGATCCATCATCTGGCACCAGCTGCGAGTCGGGGTGACGTAGTTGCCGGTGAAAACCGAGCCGACGGCGGGCGATGGCGGCGTTCCACGTCGTTACCTTGATGAAGGCATCGTCATGTGACTACCGTCGACCTACTCGTATTGCTCCGTGGGAAACCCTAGGATCTGGTGTTCCAGACCGGACGATGGCGGCACCGCGGTGTCGTTTCTCTCTTGAGAGCGTCGTTTTGTGGAGCAGCGCTGGAAGTCCGAGGCAGGTGGTGGAGCGGCTTCGTCTTGCACGGAGCTTCGGTGGAGATGTCAAGTCATGCCTGACCGACAGGTGCTACGCTTGGTCATGCCTGGTCGGCAGGTGCTACGCACGACAAATCCTCCAAGAGCTTCAAGCTGTGTCGGCTGGTGGTACGTGGCAGCATGACGCTGAGGTGTATCAGTGACGACCGCGACGTGTACGGCTGTTTGCGCGCAGGGAGGAGGTGTCGTTGGGCACCGTGGTGGCGTCGACAATAGCTGGACCGAGCAAGGTTGATGCATCAGTATAGTTCTGAAGATGGAGCAGTGGCAGTTGGCGGCGGCGGCCTCTGAGAGCACGCCGGACCAGTATGTGCCCCAGACCCGGCAAGTGGCTAGGTTGGGGTCTCAGGTCTTAGATGTTAGGCTTGGCTGCGATGTCTGTTTGGTATTAGGCCCAGGCTATCTGCGCCCCTTCATCAACTAGATAGGTGCAGCGACAGTTTGTTGCTTAGACGGCGGCTTTAGTCTTACTGTTGTATGACTTTGTAAGGTCTTGTGAGAATAATTAATAAAGTGGCCATATGCATCGTTCAGATGCAGAGGCCGGGGGTCATCCTCCTTTTCTAAAAAAAATCATTTTGCACCAAAGTGCTTTTCTCTGTTGTATCCCCAAAATTTAGAAGCTACTATTAGGTGTGTTATTAGCACTCCTATTCATTGATGTCAATCAAAAGAGAAAAGGTTATTGTTCGTGTAATTTGTATCGTTGCTAGTTATGGTGCTTCTAGGAAATGTACTATTTATGAAGATGATGCCTATCTCTTTTCTCATTGGTTGTATGTACATATCTAATGTCTTGAGAGTAGATACGTCAAATGTTTACTCCTTTTCATGCTTGATTTTACTAGCTTGAATCTGCTGTATCGTCGAATCGTTGTTGAAGATGCAGCCCACATATACAATATCTAGATATCGCATGCTTTGAGAAATCATTTTGGGTAAGTGTTCAATTTTTATAAGCAAGTTATCCATATTTTTAGTTGAAAATGTAAGCAATGGTTTGCATAATTGTGCCAGTCTCTTGTAGGTATTGCTTGACATCTTTATAAATCTTTGTGCCGGCAGAAGGAGGCCGTATATTCCTCCCTCCGAAAATATTTGTTATCAAAATAGATAAAAAAGATGTATTTAGACATATTTTAATTTTAGATACATTATTTTGTATCCATTTTGATGACATGTATTTTTGGATGGAGGGAGTATCATAGATGGAGTGAAGAGCAAGGCAAAACGTATCTCAGGTTCATCGCAAAAAAAAAAACGTATCTCAGGTATCTCTCACACTTTTGGAGTCCTTGTGCTCGGTTGCTAGTTAAAAAGAAACGTATCTCTCCCCCGGCTCGTGGCCACACACCTCTCGCGGTAGACTTGATCTTCTCGTGTCTGCTCATCCACTCGTTTCTTCTCTCCCAAAAGCAGCGCCACATCTCTCTCTGTCTCTCTCACATTCTGTCGCTCACCATGGCCCTCCGCGCGGGTTTACCACCGCCACCGCACGCCCAACAGCCCTCGCTTACTGCTGAAAAGCGTACGCACTGGGATTTTGCTGCTGCTAGGAAGTTGCGGTGGGTTTTGGCTGCCGTTGTGAGCAGCAAATGCGCGCAATGTTGGCGTGGCCCTAACTAGCTCTCTCTCTCTCTCTTAGCTGGAGGTAGAAGAAAGAGCAAAGACAGCAGAAACTTTTCCATGGCGCACGTACGCCATCACAGGCGCACCAACGCATTGTTTCTTCTTTTCTCAGCTGACTCGCCACAGCCCTTACAAAGGGACTACAACATTTATACCGGGGGCTGGCGCATGCACAAGACAAAGCCCACCCCGCCTCACTCCGTGCCCATCATCTGCATTCCCCGGCCACACGCGCCCACGATGCGATCAACACGCTCGTTACGTCCAGCTCGCAACAGATCGCTAACAACCTGGTTAACTAGCTCACGCGGCTGTATCACCACACAACACACACGCCACGCACATCTACGCACACACGTCATATTCCCGCTGCGCCCAGCACATTTCGCGTGCACCCGACGTGCCGGACCGCATCAATGTGTCTCGCACGTCCCGCGCGCATCCAACGCGCCCGACGAGCACGACCATACTAGACATCGTGACTTATTCCAATACACATCCCCAAAGCCACGGCCTAGAGGAGTCGGTCGGCGTCGGCCAGGAGATCCTGCTCCGTCGCCGGTCCTTTCCGCAGCTGCGGGCACTCGCGCCGGAAGTGCCCGTGCTCTCCACATTTGTAGCAGCGTCCATGGCGCTTCCCTCCGTTGCCCGACGATGTGCTCGCTGCACCGTCGTCATCGTGATCGCCGAAGCCGCGTCCACCTTGCCGTCGCTGCCGAGTTGCCTATTGTGCCGCCGTCATCATCAGGTGCCCGTCTGCACGCTTGCCGCCGGCCTACACACGCTGCCGCGTCCTCTCCTCAAACGCCTTGAGCCATCCGAGCGCCTGCTCGAACGCCATCTCCTCCATGTTGCAGAACTGCTCGATGCCGGTGACCGCGGCGTACAACCGGTCCGCCACGGTGTTGAGTAGCTTCTTCACAATGGCGCTGTTGTCGAGCGTCGATCCGAGCACCACGTACCTCGCCGCCATGCCGCTGACCTTCCCGGCGTAGTCGACCAGTCCGTCCGCAGGCGATCGAACTTGCCGCGCAGCATCGCAAGCCTCGCCGCCCGCACCCGATCGGCACCGACGAAGCGCACTTTGAGGGCGTCCCATACCTCCTTCGACGTGGTCTTTGTCGCCACCTGCATCAGCAAGTCGTCTGGCAGCCGGCCCAGCATCGCCGCCCGCACCGCCTTGCTCTTCCCGGCGTCGACCGCCGCGCCCTCCGTCGGAGCCACCGCACTCCACAGCCCTTAGATGTAAAGGATAGCCTCTGCCTTGATCGCCCAGGAGGTGTAGCTCGTCGTCGTCAATGATGGCAGCTGCAACGACATCGCCCCGCCACCACCGGCGTGAGGGATGAGCGACATGGCCGCCGGCAGGATCGCATCGAGGCTCTGTATACAAAATGTTGCCGTAGCCCTAACTAGCACTCTCTCTCTCTCTCTCTTAGCTGGAGGTAGAAGAAAGAGCAAAGACAACAGGAACTTTTCCACGGCGCGTGTACGCCGCCACGGACGCACCAACGCATTGTTTCTTTCTTTCTCAGCCGGCTCAGCACTTACAAACGGACTACAACATTTATATCGGGGGTTGGCGCATGCACAAGACAAAGCCCACCCTGCCCCACCGCGTGCCCACGATCTGCATGCCCCGGCCACACGCGCCCACGATGCGATCAACACGCTCGTTGCGTCTAGCTCACAACAGCTCGCTAAGGGCATCTCCAGCCGCGCGAATGCCTCCCAGACGTTTTTTTTACGCCGGCGCCGAAAAAACGGCCCAGTCGCGCCCTCAGGAGCCCGATTTTCGCCGGCTTGGGCCGAAAACAGCGCCGGCGGACCCAGGCCGAACCCGGCGCGCTGGGGGGCGCCCGGGGGCGCCGGGGCGAATTGTTTTGGCGCGAAACAGCCGCGGGCCCGCCGCGTCAGCGACTCTACCCTCTTCTCGCCCCTTCGTCGTCCTCATCGCCTCGTTTCCCACGGCGAATCAATGCCAAAACTGCCGCGCTGCCGCGCCGGTCAGCCTGCGCCATTGGTGCTCACGGGCGGCGCAGTGAAGGCCGGATGACGCGCGTCCCTCACCCTCCCTCGCCCGCCACGCGTGCTCACGGCGGCTCGCACACGGGGCGGCGCCTCGGGCTATATAAGACGCGCCCCAGCGCACTCGGCGACTCGTGCTCTCTCGCCGCCGTCGTTCCTCCCTCTCCTCTCTCGCCGTCGTCGTTCCTCCCTCTCCTCTCTCTCGCCGTCTCCAGAACCCATGGCCGAGCGCTTCCCAGGCGACGGCGCGGCGGCGAACGGCTTCGGCCGCCGCCATCTCCACGAGAACGAGGCTCGCCTCCTTTTCAAGGCCGAGTACCCGGTCCCGCCGGACATGCGGGTGCCCGGGGCTTGGAGGATCAGCGCCGGCGGCGTGCCGGTGCCACCACCACCCACCGGGGCGGCGCGGCGTGCGGAGATCACACACATCCGCGCGTCCCTGCCGCGGGCGGCGAGGGAGGGGCCATGGTACGTCCCCGACAACCCGCTCTGGGAACCTTACTTCCGCCGCCGTCACGCCGAGCAGCTCGAGGCCACCAACGGCGTCGTGCCCTCCGGCAGGCTCAACTCCAATGGCCGGCGCCGGTGGTGGGGCGTGCCCGGGCGCACGTTGGAGGCCGTCCTCGAGTACATCGAGGGCGGCAACACGCCGCGCCTCGAGTACTCCGCTCCCCCGTCCTTCTCACGCCGCCGGGGAAGCTCCTGGACCCCGAGGCGCATGGAGACCGGGGGGTCCTCCTCCTCGTCCGGCGGCTCGCCCTGCCTCCGCCCCGTCAAGCCGGAGCCCCAGGACACGCCGATCAGCGCGCGCACCGGCAGCTCCGGTGTACGCATCGGCGCCAACGCCTCCCCACCCACCGGCCGCTTCGGCCTCGTCGAGCCCAAGCCGGAGCCCGACCTCCCGCCGGAGTACGAGGAGAGAGCCCGGCGCGGCATCTCCGACGAGGACGCCCTGCGGTGGGCGCGGGACGACTACCTCCGCGACGAGATGGTCCGGCAGCGCCGGGCCCTGGAGGAGATCGCCGCCCGCAAACGTGGGCGCGAGGATGAGCACGGCGTCGTGGTCCTCGACAGCGACGACGACGACGATGACGCCCCCGGACCGTCCAACCCGCCGCGCCAACCGGGGGAGGGATGCAGCAGGGACGGTGGAGGCGCAGGCGGGGGCGGCGACGACGACGACGACGACGACGACGGCGGCGGTGACTACACGCGGTTCTACAGCCTCCTCGGCATGTAAACCGCGTGGGCGGGCAGCGAGGCGGGCGGCGAGGGAGACGGCGGGGGTAGCCCGCGCAAGTTTTTTTTTCTTTTTTGGTAAAATATGTTTAAGTTTGAACGAACTCGCCGATGTTTGCGTTAAATTTCAGTCGTGTTTGCGCGGTATTTGAATTTTTTAAAAACACATGGGCGCCGCTGTCGTGGTTCTAACTCTGACAGTGATGTAGGAGGGTATGAATGGAGAGGCTAGATCTCAGCTATTGGGAAGTCGTAAACACACCAAGATGTACGAGTTCAGGCCCTTCACGGAGGAAGTAACAGCCCTACGTCTCGGTGCCCGGAGGCGGTCGATTGGATTATAGGTGTGTGAATAACAGGGGTGCGAACCCTTCATACTGAGGAGGGGGGTGGCTTATATAGAGTTCGCCGGTCCTCTCCTGCCCTCAGAAATGCAGGGTTTAAGGTACATTTAAGGTTGGGCGTTACTGGTAACGCCCCTAATAAAGTGCCATAATGACCATAAAGACTACTTAATAGCCGACCGTTTGCATGCGGAGTGACTTTAGTCTCCTGGCAGTCGAGTGGTTGGCTTCATGGTCGAGTGATGGCTTCTTGGTCGAGTGTCTTGGACCCGTCGAGTGGGATACCTTTAAGTCGATTGAAAGGTGACTTCTTCTAGGGATGTCCTTGGGTGGGGCTCTTTAGGCAGGTCCGTGCCCCTACCCTAGGTGTATAGCTTCATCATTAGCCCCCGAATGGATCAAGGTTTGAGTAGGGAAAGAGTTGGAGATCTTTCCGACTGGTTCTTTGGGCTTCATGAGTGCCTCGTTTTGGGTCAATCGTCACGGATGACGACGCCAACCTCTTTCAGTCGCCTTGATCCATTTCAGGTTTTTCGTCGAGTGAATTTCTTTACTTGTGACATACCGAGCGTCGATGTGGACGGGGTCTTCTATTTTGACAAGTTGTTCCGCAGCCCGCGGAGGCCGTGGGATTTGGATTTCAGGAAGCGTGCGGGACGGGGGCGGCCGCAGTAATCGGAAGCGATAAAGCAGAGGCTCCTCGATCCCCGCGTCGCCTTTTTCGCCACGTACTGCGCGCGCACCTGCTGCGGGATTTGACTGGATAGCCTGGGCCTACCAGTCAGCCACTCGGGAGCGGCCCCTTATAAGTTGCCGGCTCGGAGCTTCCAAGCAGTGCGCGTACTTCTCCCTTCTTCTTCCTCTCTCCCTTCGCAGGCCCTTCTGCCACCTCCGCTCTCACCTTAGCGTTGCAGATCTGCGCGAGATTTGCCGGCGGCGATGGCGAAGGACAAGACATCCGCTCTGGAGCGCGCGAAGAAGGCGGCGGTGCAGGGGAAAGGGAAGAGGTCTGCTCGGGGCGGATCCTCCTCAAGGTCCGCTCTGCCCCGGGGTTGGATCCAGGGCGATTGGTTGCCGTCGGTGATCAGGAAAGATGATCTCGACGACATGGTCGAGGGGGGAGTCATTCCCCACGAAGCTGTGCGTCTCCCGGGGAAGGAGATCGAACCTCAACCCCGCGACGGTGAGTGCGTGCTCTTAGCCACCCACATCGACCGAGGGTTTTCTCTGCAGCCCCATCCTTTTTTCCGGAGTTTCCTGAACTTCTTCAGAGCGTAGCTCCACCACTTCACTCCCAACTCCGTCGTATACCTTGCTGCTTTCATTTCCATGTGTGAGGCTTTCTTGGGTTGCCGCCCCCATTGGGGACTCTTGAAGCACATTTTTACCTGCCGTTCTCAATCGGTCAAGAATGCCAAGTCGAGTGACGAGAGGACGCAGGTGATCCAGTTGTGCGGGGGCTTGGCCATCCAGACGAGGGGAAAGAGCTACTTTCCATCTATCACTTTCCTGGAGTCGGTCCGTGGTTGGCAGGCGACCTGGTTCTACTGTAAGGATCAGGCGAGTCCAGGACAGTCGACTGGTCTTCCGCCTTTCTCTCTCGACCGAGCCGAAAAACCTGCTTCTCTGAAAGTGACGCCGGAAGAAAAGGCCCAAGTCAAAGTGCTTGCCGGTCGAGTGGTTGAGCTTGTCCGTGAGGGTGTGACTGGTATGGACCTGCTGGAGGTCTTCCTTCGGAGGCGCATCCAACCGCTCCAGACTCGTGACCACCCGATGTGGCTGTACTTGGGTCTCGACGACACCACTCGGGTCTACCCGGAGGAGGTCACCGATGAGATGCTGGAGGGGTGGCTGTCGAGCATCACAGGGAACAAGGACAACCCCCGAGGGGCCAGGAGGGTAATTCCACTCGACAACTCGTACGACGTGGACCTGGTATGTCTTTACGCTCCGACTGGGATCTTGTTTTCTTCGTTGGTCTTCTTTGAGTTGGTCGATTGACTTTTGTCTTGTCTGTTGTTTCTCAGGCGACTACCGAGATGTACTCGACGCCCAACGGGGCCCAGGGGCCAATTGAGGAAGGGGAGGCGAGCGGAGGTGAGAGTGGGGATGACCAAGGCGAGTGGGAGTCCGACGGTGAAGGAGAGGGAGACGACAATGTCGACTCCAGCGAGGAGGAGGAGGAGGAGGTCGAACCCCCTC